CTTGTCCGCAATAACTGAAATTCGAAAAGACTGCAATGAAAATATCTAATAGATAGTTTAGTTATTACTATGTATTATAAATTTTTTTGTTGTACTCCTTAGGACCATTAAGTCCCGCTCGTATAGGAGCCAAGTTGAAATGAACTTAGTGCCTATTCTAATAAAAGTAATGAATATGCATTTTATAATGACCAAATATGTCATTAAAATGTCTGTCAACTCATGCCTAGTGGAAATCCGACATAAGGTTTTAAGATAGTGGCGGTGCGAGTAATATTCCTATATAGAATACACTGGATCACAAATTTCAGTTTAGTTTTTCTCTAGACGCCACTACCCAATTTCTAAGTAGAATTGCTCGGTGATTCCGAAAATGGAACAATTTTTTTCGATGGATATGTTTTCGAGGTATTTGCAATTTATCGTTATTCAGGTTAAAGCAAAAACTGGTTCCTCTTAATCACGTATATCTTACGAACCAATTTAAAAATCTTTATATAAATGTAAGCTAATGAAATTCTCCACAAACAATGTACATATATGTACATCATTTTCCGATTAGACCGATAGCTTCTGACAAATTAATTAATCATTTCAGTTCTATTTCTTTTTAATGAAAAAATTAAAAAAAAATCCAACTTTAACAGAAGAAAAATTAAAATAATAACTAGGCTCTGAGCCAAATTTATGCATTTGTACTAAAGCCTGTTCTGTTACAAAAAAAATCAAGCTACTAATGAAGAAAATCTATGGATTAATACGAAATAATGAGTGGTCAAATGAAAATGCGCAGAGATTTTTTGTATGAAATATGATCAGAAAGGCGTGATTCTCAGGTGTACGTGGCGTATGAGTAACTTTCTTTCCTGCTAATTTTTCATACAAAAAATCTTTGCGTATTTTTATTTGACCACTCATTATTTCTTATTTATCCATCGATTTTCTTCATTAGTAATTTGATTTTTTTTGTAACATAACAGGCTTTAGTACAAATGCAAAAATTTGGCAGAGAACCTGTTATTTTTTAAATTTTTCTTCTGTTAAAGTGTGAGTTTTTTCCTTTTTTCATTTAAAAATAAAAAAAGCTGGAATGATTAATTAATTTGTCAGAAACTATAAACCCTATTGGAAAGTAATGTATATACGGTTTACGGAACCAGTTCTTGCTTTAAGCTGAATAACCGAAAATTTAAAATATCTCGAAAACTTATCCATAGAAAAAAATTACTCGATTTTCGAAATCAACGAGCAATTCTACATAGGAATTGGATAGTGACATCCATCGAACATTTTTTCTGTAAACCAGTGATATAAGAGCATTAACAGTAAGGGCCGTGCCACGTACAGCTTTCGCGTCGGTTTTGGCGTTTACTACATATTGACAACAGAGATATATAGTATGTACATATAAATTGGGTTATATAAAGCAGTTCATATAGGAAATTTTGACGCCAAAACAACGTAAACTTAATTTTGAGTCGTAGATTATGGATCTGTTTACCGTTTTTCAAGATCAAGTTATCTTCCCAAGACATTTTCATTTCAAGTTTGCATTGCGAAAGAACAAAAATTCAAATTTTAATACGGAAAAGGTTATTTATACGTCATGTACTAATTTTTACTACACACTTTCATTTGTCCATTCAAAAGTGGTTTATTTATCCACCGATTTTCAACGTTAGTGGCTTAATTTTTTTGGTAACAGACAAGCTTTACCACAAATAAGAAAAAATTGCAAAATAAGATTTAATTTTTGAATATTTTTCTTTGTTAAAGATAGATTTTTTTTTAGAAAAATGAAAATATCTTTGGAAAATTGACTGATCTGGAAAAACGGTATACAGATCCATAATGTATGACCCAAACTTAAGTTTACGTGTCGTTTTTTGTGCAATTTAAAACCCGGGCAAGGGTAAGAGTTTTTTTTATAAAAGTTTACATAGTTTATCCTTTAACAAAAACCGTATAAATCCAAGTTTGAATCTTTGTGCAATATTTAAATAAAATCAACACACTTTCCTAAAGATTTCGAACTTTTTAATTAGAATTTGTTAGAGATATTTTGAGTATGGAGAGTTGTAGCGCGATCATTTCTGGTATAATAAAGTGCAAGTTTGAAGTAGCTGGGATTTGCCGTTGGTATTTGACAATTTTTACAAAGCATATTCGAAAATTTTTTTATAAATGAGCAATATCTTCAAAAAAAAGCCAAAAATCGGCTGTAAATCCCAGCTGCTTAATAAAACTTCTTAGAAATCAAATATTTATGAGAAATATAAATAATAAGCTTGAAATTTGTATGAAAGCTTTTTGATTTTTTTATGTTGCACAAAGTTTGAAGCGTGGATTTATACGGTTTAGATTAAGGAATAAACTATAGTTTTATAAACAAATAATTAAAATTAAAATATAACAAATAAAAAGCCTAATTTTGTCAATATGTGAGTGTCGTAACTTTATGATGAGCACTATATATCACAGATAAATCGATTAAATCGAAGATCGATTAATAGAGCCCTTCCGATTCTATTTTTTGTTCAGTTTTTAGTTCCGATTCGATCCAAAAAAATTGAGAATCGACATTCGATTTTTTCTGAATTGATGCATATAAAAATGCATTAGAAAATCAAGAGCATCTAGCTTTAATTTAGAATATTTTCACTAGTTTAGTAAAAAAAAAATTGCCAAAGCTTAAATTGGAGCAAACTAATATTGAAAAAATTGAAGCATTTCAAAGCATACAAGTGAGCGGCAGAGTATAGCTTAATAATATTTTCTAAATAAATTTCGGGTATGCAGTTTTGTAGCCCATTCAATAAAGTGCAAGCTTTAAATGGCTGCAAATTAGAGTTGATTCTTGGCATTTTTTTGTTGTTCGTGCTAGGCGTTTTATTCATATGAAAATGTTGTCCAGCATACTTTGTATGAAACAAAATGCGCTACAAAACTGCATAGTAATTTTTTTTCTAAAAAAGGCACTTATACTTCACTCCATGCAGTTAGCGAAAACAAAAAAAATTTTTTTTGCTATTTTTTTGGCCTATTAACAAATTGTTGAATATGTTAACAAAAAATTTTAAAAATTCTCTATTGCGAAAAAATCTGTATACGCAAGCTTTATTGGGCTAGTGTATTTATGTATAATACAGTTTTTAACCGACTTCACAAAAATGAGAAGGTTATTAGTCCGTCGGAATATTTTTGTTTTATGTATGTTACCGCATATCTTTGAACCACGTTAACCGATTTCTATATTTTAAAGGAAAGGTGTCAGCTCACAGGTGGTCCCATAGTAATTTGGTTTAAATACGATTATTGGATCATAAAGAAATTAACGATAATCTTAAATTTTTATATGAGAATTGAAGCCTTTTTTTTGCTTAAAAATTACTTGTTAAATTAGCGGTTCATTTTGAAATAGAACACATTTTTTTCTCCTCTGTGTTTAAAAAAATTAAAATTCGAAAACAATTTTAACATTTTCCTAAGTAAGGCAAAGAAAAGAATTATGAAATTTCTGTTGAATGCTCATATCGTTGTATTTTTTTAGGTATTTATGGATTGTTAGCTATCTGATAGCTTTTGGATAAATTTAGATATTAAACCGTTATATCCATTTTACTTACAATAATTTGTGTAATTTAGGTGTTGGTCAGAAACAGAAACCCGTATTTTGTTTCTTTTAGAAAATTAAGTATGAGGCGTTTTTTGACAAATTGTATGAATCGATCTTGGGAGTTCGATTTATTTTTTGACGATTTCTTCCTGCATCGATTATTTTTATTTCGATTCAAAAATCGATTCTTTTATTTCGATCTGGCATCTCTATTATATATACTATTCTAAAACTCAACTTTTTATTAGCAATTTTGAACGTTCTTCTATCCAGATCCATATTCATACTAAAGCCTGCATAAGAATTAGTTTTTTTTTTATGAATACGTTTAGGATTCTTAGGAGTTGGAAAATTTTTATTAACGGTGTTTAACAGGCCACTTAAATACTGTTGTTTTCTGATTACTATATTAAAATGGTTTATACAAACTTCATGCGTAGTTTAACCGGCATTCAAATACATAAGTCTAGGTTTGTGGCATATTTGAAACCAAGTTCTGCTTTATCGTTCAGACATACCCCGCATAAGCTCAGCCGAAAAAGCTCCGCAATACTTGGAAGCTCTCCCTATGTGTACGTGCGTACTAGAGCTCTAGATACCCGGGTATCGAGCAATGCGAGTAGCTCGATGCTCGCTCGAAACTCGTTCATTGCTCAACTGCTCAAATGTTTGTTCAAAATTTTCGAGTTTTTGAACAATTTCATAAACAAAAGAAAATTTGTAAATTGTATTTGTCAGCAGCTGCTTTCTAATTCATGTTAAATAAATTATATTATTAAATATCAATGTAACAATCCTTGCATTATATATCAATAATTGAAAAATTTAAAAAGTTTCTACCAAAAATGTCAATATAATAAAAAAACATTGTTCAAATTACTCGAAAAAACTCGAATTGCTCGAGCTCATGCTCGAAAATTTTCGAGTAATGAGCGTTGAACAAGTGTGCGAGTACTCGCTGCTCATATACCCGGGCTGTTTGAAAATGTGCGAACAAAATCGAGAGCTCTGGTGCGTACATTAATGTTTTGCTATCGGATGTGCAATTTATTAAAATTTAGGGCTTAGAGAGTACTTTTATAAGTAAAAAAAATATATATACACGCATAAGTAAACATAAAAGTTTTTCTTGGTAATTGGTGGGACAGAGTTTTTAAGTGATCCGCCCCAAAATTTTCTATCTTTTAAGTCTTTGCTTTTATCTCATTTTGTGACCAAATTTGAATTAAACAACCTAGCCATAGCCCACATTTTTATGCGCAAAACTTTACTTATGTACATATGTATTTATGTAGTATGTATGTACATAAAGTTTAGTATGTATAAATCAAACCAAACCTTTCATCACTTTCAATTAACCCACAATTTTCAATTTTCTACTCACATTGGATTCCGTGTATCTGGTATATCCCTGTTGCTGGGCAATGCATCGCTAGCCTCCTGATTAAAGCGATTCCGTATGTAAGGATCCTCACCAGTGCGCAACGCACCGCGACGAATGTAGCCGGCCTCATCGAAATACTCCCAATCGCCAGTGCTGCGGCCATTCGGTGCTGTCAATGAGCCGTGAATGCCAGTGGCGCTGGCCACCGCAGCAACACCACCGGCACCGCTGCTACTGCTGAACACACTATTGCCGTTTAGGTGTAACGTGTCCTCCTCCACGCCCACTGCCGCACCCGCGCCATATGCATTCAAGCCCAGCCCACCAATGCGCGGATGAAAAGCGGGTCCAGTGCCGATAATTATAATGTTACCACCGCCACCACCAACTCCGTCGCCACCACCTGGCTCCTCGTACACACCCTCATTGGCTAGCGGGTGTAGTTGATTGATATCATGCGCCGCGCCACCACCGTGCACGGAGGCAGCTGATGGTAGAGGTTCGTCTTGGTATTGCTGCATGGCGGTGGCTACTTCGCGTAAGCGTAGCGCACGGTTTTCTACCTGCAAAAAATTATAAAAGAAAACGGGGCTTTAAAATATGAGTATATGCCATTAGTTAGCAGAAAAACGAGGAAAAGCTGAAAAAAGTGAAATAATCTTTCAACGTAATCTGACTAAAAATTACGTCAACAGAAATTCTGTTCGCTTGTCGCTAAGCCGGATAAAAAAAAATTTTTACATTAAATATAAAATCACAGCGAAAATTTTTTTACATACATACATATACATATATGTATATGCCCGTAATGTATCGTCCCGTCACTATACTGGCCGAGACGGAAATTGCAGAAGTATATATGAGGGCCATGCTGACGATAAGGGAACTCTATTGATGTACATACTCGTTGGTTATAAAAGATGAATCGGCCAAAGTGAATGGGAACAGAAACCAATAACTAAACTACAAACGTACATACGTACTTACATAAATATATTAATATATGGTAGTAAGATTGACGCAAGTAATAGGAAACGTTGCAGCAAGTGATAAAATTCAAAGAGTCTTTGCTAAACCATACACCATTCAATTAGGTCCCTTGAGAAGGCCTAGTGGATCATGCCGCAACAGCTGAAAGGAACCTTTTAACTTGCTAACCAAGGTGCACTTTCCTGACTGCATACCACTGTGCAAAACTCGCACCATTCATTAGAGTAAAATTAACCTACGCATTGAATTGGAAAGTTGCAAGAGACATGTTCGAGGAAGATAAACTATGGCAGGATTTATTTGACTGCAAGTCAAAATTAAATAACCACTTTTCAAGGAAAATTAATAAACTTCTCAAATGAAATTAAATATCTTGGAGTTATACTTGAAAATAAACTCTCATCGCAACCGCACCTAATTTATGCTACTTAAAAGGCCAAAGTATTTATTATGATACTATTTAGGACGATAATGGAGAGGAATTAGGGCATTGGGCCTAAACTGGCTAGTTTGATGTAATAAATACACCATTTAAAAACCCACCATACTTCAAATCTGGGAAAAGACCTTTGAGAAAAGTATCAACACTCACCATCAATTTGCCGACTTCCAAGCCGCTTTTGATATCACTAGCACTAAAAGGAATTGCCTATACACCGAGATGCCCGTTACATTGACATTGATATATACGAAGAGTTCCATCAGAATCAAAAACCGCTTAGATATAATTTAAGACCACTCATCTACCCTTAGGACTATAGAAAAAGGGGAGGGGGGCCGAGCTCTTCCGAGGCTTAACTTCGCACACAACTTCAATTTTTTTTTCCTAAGTAGAACCAACTACGTCAATGAACGACCAACACTAGGGCGAGTAATTTTTTTTTGACTATGCGGGTATAGCATAGGAGGATTCTATGTGTGATTCTACGCAAACCTGCCGAAGAAACCATGGGTCTAGGGCCAATTTTGAGTTTGGAAAATTGCGAAAATAAGTTTCGTAGAAAATGGGAACATTAAAGAAAAATATAAGTGCAGAAATGGATTTTTCTTACTAAAAACCCCTTATAGCATGTTCTTAAACACAATTCAACCACTACCAACGACACTACAGCAAATTGTTAAGACCTATTTTCGCAATTTGGCAAACTCCAAATTGATATTAGATCCATGGTTTTTTCGGCAAATGTGCTAAGAATTATACAAAAAATCTTTCTGTACTATACTTGCATAGCCGGCAAAATCTCCCATACAAATTGACCCGCCCTAACCAACACCCTTTATTGATGGCTTGAGGACTGACCTTGAACCGGAACAAAGCACACCCGTATTGTTTATCCGTCTTCAGTGGAGCTTTGTTAGGCAAAATTACTACACGCAGCTATGTAAATTCTTCATGCGGAAAAATAATTAGGTAAAACCAAAGCACTCTTTTACCTTCGAATACTCAAAGGAAAAAATTTTTGCAGGATTTCTTACTTACTGCGGATGTTTATGCAGAAAACGAAGGTTAAAAATATGTAGCCCATAACTATAAACAAAATGTATACAAATCTATTTATTTTCCTTATAGTTAAGTGATAAAAATTTTTAGACTTCGCTACTGCAAGTCAAAGAAGCACTTGCTATGGGAGTTGTTTCCTCTGACAGGAACAGGAAATAGCAGAGGTTATTGCGTCAAACTGCTTTGCCGTTTTTAAACACAGACTTTGCTTCCCGGGGTTATCGTACCCAGAAAACATGACCTATATTGAATTTAGCCAAGGGACCTCCCGAAATTGCTTAACAATAAGAGGGTCAAGGAAGACTTGCAGCCGAATAGATGGGTTTAACAATAGATCGCCATTGGCTGTAGTAACTAGGCGATCTGCTGCATGCTCTAGAAAATATTTTAATCTCTTTGACTGGTAAGACTTTGATGCATAGATTGAAAACTTCCATTTCGTTGCATTCTTATTGTCAAATATACTCTCAATTTATTAAACAAGTACAGAAGTATAAGCGCGGGCGAAACCGTACTTCATATACCCGGCGCACGTATTAAATATCGTTTTTTTCACTTTGATGTAAACTACCCTTCTATGATATGTAAATCCCTCTTATGTGTGTCAAAATCTAGGCACTCGTCACATAACGTAGGATAAGCTGCGTGAAGCAATAACAATCTGAGTAACCACTAATCTATTGTTATTATTCTTAATAAGGGGGCGGCGCCTCGCCCATTTTGCAAAAATCTATAACAATATTAGTACCTGTTAAGAAAATGCTGCAAGTTTTCGTATTTCTGAAATGTATCGTTTTATGGGAAGTGAACGTAGTTTTAGTCCGATATCAAAAATGTTCAAGGTGTTGCTTTTTTGTACCAAGGGCAATAACTGAGTTTTGTAGCAATTGATATGAGTAGTCTTGCTTGCAAACAGCGTTATGTGATAAAATACCAGTATACCCATTAATTAAAAAAAAAAACAACTACGACAACAAGTAACATCTAAAATGAACATTTTTTTATTGGCTGAAAATTTGGATAAAAAATATAATCGCAGCATGGTAATTTTTGCAAATTTTATATTTAAAAAATTGATATAGTGAGTTTTGAAACAGTAACTTTTAAATAACTAGTGAGGTACATAATATTACCGCTTTAGCTATTCGCGTTCTTCCACTAGGTACCGAAACTACCACGTTTTCTTGCACTTCCATGTATTATAGAAACTTTTTAATTACAACAACGCATTCGCCCTCTCAGATCCCAAAAAAATGTAATATATGTCAAACAAAATGCGCGCTACCATTCCGCAGGACCTGGGTTCAGGCCCGGCTCAACCCAACATCAAAAAAATAAAAAACAAAAAGTGTTTTTCTAATATCGGTCGCCCTCGTCAGGCAATGACAAACCTCCGCGTGTATTCTGTCATGGAAAACAGCTTCTCATCAAAATCCAATCGCCCTTCGGAGTTGGCGTAAAACTGTTGGTCCCTCCCACAACATCAAGGCGCACGTCACAAATCGGAGGAGAAGCTCAGCCAAATACGAACATATGTGTAAGCGCCAATCCAGTATTAATATGTCAAACAAAATTACGAAAATTTTTGAAAACTATCGATGTCGGTTTTAGCAAGACTTCACAATGTCTCTTCTTTACATCTCTATACATTACATTAATTTTTGTATGTGCAAGAAAAAACACAACATAGTCGGCAAAAAAAAAAGATTTAAGTCATTGGGAATTTTAGCAACTATAAGCTTACACTGAGTTAAAGTAAAATTTAATAAGCTATAAAACTGCTTACACAAAATTTTTTTATAGAAATTCGAATTAAAAAGCTTGAATTTTTAGTTATTTTGTAGTTTTTTATGTTTTGTACATTTTTATAAAAAATTAGTAGACACTAAATAAACAATGTATTTTTATAGCCAATTTCATTTCTTTGCACTTCACAAGGAACAAACAAAATCTGAATTTAATTTTCCATATAAAAAATAAATTAAGATTTTGCATATAATTTATATAATTCAGACGCATAAATTAATAAGTTTATTTTATTATTATAAGAAGTTCTTTTTGATGCACTTAAATTAAAAAAAAAATATACAATATCTTTAATTTACAGTAATTATAGTTATAGTTTCAATTCAATACCTTTCACAACGATAGTACTATCGATACTATCGATGTTTTCAACTATCGTTTCGAAAACTATCGAGTGGCGGTACTATCGATAGTATCCCAGCTCTATTACTCACCAAAAACTAAATATCGAAAAAAAATTTACAAAGCGCACTTTGCAAGTGGACTACTCATATGTCCTCATAATTGGATGGTTCCACGCTAATTTTCTAAAAAAATTCTGATTTATTGCGAAGAGATTGTGATTTTGAGGGAATTAGTTTCAATAATTACTGATTTATCGCAGTTTTGGTAATTCGGAGGTGGGTGTGGCTATTTTCCGATTAAAAAAAATGTCAAGAAGTTTCTTAAAGAAACTTTAGTCAATGTTTATACCGAGTTTGGTGGGGGTTGGGGAAGGGGCTTCTGATATACCGCCTTTCATCATAAGTAAAAAAGGAGCTCGTAAGCTACAAAGGGAACTAAATAGGAGTAGGCTACTTCAAAACTGGTAGCTTTGACTGAAGGAATATGCATTTCAGTAAGAGAAATTGTGAAATATATCTTTCTATTGAAGCAGTAGCTCCTTGCTATCGTTGCACGCTTACTCCGTTGATGATCTCACAGAATGCAAAAAATAGCGGACATTTCCCAAAATCTGCCTCTGGGTGTGTATTTTGTCTCCATCTGATGATGACGATGCCTTCTAAATATGGTACTTCAGCTAACATATAACTCATTAATTTGGTATTATATTTGTAGTTGCTGTTTCTGTATCAAACTCTGCCGCAAATTTTCTGTTTATGTTTGTTATTTCTCATGCAACCTTTTGTTTTCCTTTCTTGCCAGTTCTTCTCATTTCGCTTTCCATGTCGTTTATAGTATGAAAATTAGCTTTGTTGACACTGCTCCACCAATTTCAATGGAGGCTGCCGCAATTTCAACAACTGCAATAAAATCTGCAACATTTGCCACACTACATACATTAATAACAACC